ATGCTGGGGCCTTCAAACTCCAGTTTGGGAAAAGTCAAAGCATGGAAAGGAACAAGGAATAGCAGCCAGGTCTCTTAGGCAGATCTCCAGATTTTATCAGCTTTGCTCCATGGGAATTGCAGAGACCTACCCTGGTTCACACCAGCTGATAGGTGTCCTGTTGGGCATGAACAGCAACAGCTTCCTGCCCAGCCTGCTCTTTCTGCTACTGGAATTCACTAAGGATTGTCTGTAACATCACAGCCCACAGCCAAGGAAATGAATGTGATGCCACAAATTTGCTGTGATGCTTCACTTCAGGAACAAGCAAAACAGGAGCTGGCAGAGAAAGAACATTTGCTCACACAGACAGCTTTGATATTTAGCCAAAATGGCAAGAAATTGTATGAAAGACAAGACAAACAAACAGTTTTGGGGATGTTGTGTGTTTTAAAGTTGCCTGCAGTAGGGAAATGTTACTTTTAAATATACTTTCCTGAAATAATTGCTATTGAGAGCAGGAGTGTGTAATTTATCATCGTTCTGGATTAAAAGGATTGGTAAAGATGATTTAGGTGAGTGATGACCTAATGTACCACTAGGTCTCCCTTTTACAGACCAAGATGACAGGTACATGTGTTTGATGTGAAGAGTTGTCCTGTTTCTCAAGCTGCAGCAAGAGGATTAACTGGAGGAATGTGATGCAGTAGAACAATTCCTCCTGCAGTGCATTCTGCAGCTGAGTGTCAGAGGGAACTGCAAATTTTAGCAAATTGAATGAGAATCAACCCTCTTTTTTATGGATGGGGAAAGGAGCGAACAGAAAGCTCAAACTTGCCCAGAAGGTGCTCAGTCAATGCATAGCAAAGGGAGAGAAAGCCAATCTGATTGCAGGATCATAGAAATGTTTAGGTTGGAAAAGACCTTTAAGATCATTGAGTCCAACCCCTACCCCAGCACTGCCAAGGCCACCACTAACCCATGTCCCTAAGTGCCACATCCACAGGGCTTTTAAATCTCTCCACGGATGGGGACTCCACCACTGCCCCTGCTCCAGTGCTTGACCACTATTTTGAAGAATTTTTTCCCAATATCCAACCTAAACCCCCCCTGGTGTGACCTGAGGCCATTTTCCCTTGTCCTGTCCCTGTTCCTGGAGCAGAGCCCTGCTACTCCCTAGCTGTCCCCTCCTGTCAGGAGCTGTGCAGAGCCACAAGGTCCCCCCTGAGTGAGCTTCCTTTTCTCCAGGCTGAGCCCCCTCAATTCCCTCAGCCTCTCCTGGAGCTCCAGACCCTTCCCCAGATCCATTCCTTTCCCTGGACACTCTCCAGCACGTCAGTGTTTTTCTATTGGATTCGAGGTGTGGCCTTACCAGTGCCCAGCACAGGGGACAGTCACAGCCCTGGTCCTGTGGCCACACCAGAGCTGATCCAGGCCAGGTGCCTTTGGCCTTCTTGGCCACCTGGGCACACTTGGACTCATGTTCAGCTGCTGCTGACCAGCATCCTCAAGTCCTTTTCCAGCTTCCCAGCCACTCTGTCCCAAGCCTGGAGAGCTCCACGGGATGTTGTGACCCAAGAGCAGGACCTGGCACTTGGCTTTATGAATCCTCTACTACAGCCACAAGATTGTTCTCCTCATCCTGACACAAATGCCATTTAACAGGAAAACTCTTTTGTTCAAAGGGACGTTAAGCAGTAATGAGTTTGTTTAAGTTGAAGAGTTGTGAATCTCAGAAAATAACACTTAGTTTTAAAAAGCTGTTAAAAGTCAGGGTGTACAGGATGGCAGTATCTTGGGCTGCTCTGAAATTATTTAATTATGATAGTGATAAAGCCCAACTGGAATGTAGTGGAGGTGGTGTTTGCTTTGGGCAGTGACATACTAAACCCCAAAACTGCCAAGTTCAAGGAAATACTGTGTTGTGTTTGTAATGGGTTACCAAACAAAATCAAGAAGAGATCTGAGATAAGATAATGTTTGGCCTGCTTCTGATATCAAAGATATGTTCTATTGAAAAAGATTTTGTGGAGGAAAAATGAACCTCCCAAACCTTGTGAATCCCATCTCCATTGTGCCATCTGACTAAGGAAAATACTGGCTTTTCAAAGGGACAAGATTCACAGCTGAAACTGTCAGCTCCCAGAGCACGCCTGGCCACCCAGTAGTGGCAAATCCCCAGCGTGCATCTCCAGGGGCTCTTCCTTCCTTGGACAGCACTAATGTTCATGTTTTGGTTAATGTCACAGCTGGAGAGTTTCACTATTGCTCTGAGAATCATTAACCACCTTGTTGTGATTTTTAGCTCTCGTTCCCAGGAGGCCATGCCGTATTGAACAGCTGCTCCTGGCTCCTGCACCCCTCAGGAGGGCCATATTCCAATTTTTGGTTGGGCCGTGACTGCATTTTGTTTCTGCTGAGGGCTTTCTGCTAGACCAAAAAAGGGAAGGAGAATGGAGCAAATGCCAACCCCTTTCACTCCATTTCCTCGGGAGGAGGGGGGATCATTCTCTTCCACACGGCTAAGGAGAGAGTCTGGCCAAAATTTAACATCACTCCTGCCTTTGTTGCATTAGTGACTTTCCAATATCCTCCAGCCCTGCGGGGCAGTCAGCCATAGCCCGGCGACACTCCCAGAACCGGTGCGCTCCAGCAGCTCGTAACCATGGAAAACACCTTTTTGTGAGGCTTTTATGGAACTCTGGTGAATCTGCACTCGCTGTTTGAAGGCTAATATTTAGTTAAGGAAAAAATAAACACGGAGGGAAATGGAGGGTTGGTCCTGATTGACACACTGAATGGAGCCCAGTGGGTCCTCCTGGCAAACCCTGGCTGCGACGCCTCAAACTTCAGTTTGTTTTCCTCTTTAAGTGGCCAATGCTTCCACTGGCTTTGGTTTACATGTCATAGTTTTTCTTAGAAAATATTTCCTATAATCTACTTTTCTGTAAAATTTGTCCCTAAATTAAATTATATGCTTCTTTACAACTTGAGTCACTGTTATTCAAACCCCTTACCAAAAGGAAGATGCGTGCCTGAATATGTACAGAACTATATGTTTAGTCATCAGCGTGGCTAATTAACAAACAGTAATTATTTTCCTAATCTTTTGTTTAAATACCATTAAATGGCTGCTCTTGAGAAAACCTCCATTCCCAATTAACGTGGCAGCTGTCTGCTGAACACAGAGCCCAGTGACCAGCCCCAAGCAGACACCGATGGGTGTCCTGCTCACTTCAGAGGAGAAATACCCATTTTTCTGCCAGCTGAGAATCCGGCTAGAAACACTCTGGGCTTGTTTACACAATCACAGTATCATAAAAAAATTAAGATTAGTGCTCAAATGTTGTTGGGAATTTTTTCTTTTCTTTTTGACACCAGACACTGCCAGTAAACTGAGTCACAACCGTAATGACAAGTACACACTGACCTAGTTTTGTTTTTCCCGGTTCTGAAGGCAAGGAGATAGTAAGGCACTGCTGACTGTGTTCAGTGATAACTATGACTAAACATTAACCTTTTAGATCCCACCGCTGAATCTTATTGATAGGACTCAAAAGTCCCCTCGGAAAGTGTCAAAACTTCCTGATAGCACCAGTGTTGGTCTAAGGTCAGAAAGAGGAGCGGAGGGGAGGGAATGAATCAACTTCTTCACTCAACAAAAATCTGCTGATCAATTTGAGAAGTCCTGATTCTAGAAGATCGTGTTCACAATCTCACCAGACTGTCTCATACTAAAACCCATTTCCATTTCCAAGCGAGCCAGAGCATCTTGCTGAGTTTGCAGTTGATGCACTATCGTGTAGCAGAAGGCAATGAAAACCTCTGAGGAACTACCAGATTTTAAAAATGCCCCCTGGAACCTGTGCAAGTCTCCTGAACAGTATATAAAGCTTTAAACATGTAGGCTTCACTTGGTCTGAAGAGTGAGTACCTCTTTGCACATCAAGCAGTGGTTGCATATAGCATTTAAATAATAAGCTTGAAAAGCACACAAAGGGATTTGCTCTTTCGATTAGATTGATTTTTGTTTGTGGATGTTATTTGGACTCCCTTCACTGTGGAACAAGTCCCCTACAGTTGCCATTAAAGCACTGAAAGCTTCCCTTTTGTTTTTAAATGTCAGTTTGAGCATAGCTTCATTAAATCATTTCACAATTAACTCCCTGAACATCCAGATTTTTTTTGAAAGCATCAGACACAGCTGAAATGCATTTGTTTCCCAGAAGAGTGACTCCAAAGTGGTATCCCCAAGTGTGCATCCAGGAATTCCTAAATTTGACTTGTGGCTACACAAAATGCATATGGGAGCCGTGTGGGTGGTGGGAGAGGATTAGAGCTTTCTCCCTGGCCTTAAGACATACCAAAATTTCTTGCTTAAATTCACGGCATAAGGGAAAGATGTCTGGCTTAATCTGGGAAGATTTATTCCCAAAAGAATGACAACTGAAGTAAACTGGAAATGGTTGTTAGTTTAGCCCAGTGTGTATAAGCAGGGATGTTTTCAAGGAGATTGCCTGACTTCCATGTGGGATTTCTCCTCTAAAACCTGGCTTGAGATACCATCTTATCACAGAACCATGGAATAGTTTGGGTTGGAAGGGACCTTAAAGATCACCCAATTCCAACTCCTCTGCCACAGGCAGGACCACCTTCCACTAGATCAGGCTGCTCAGAGGCCCATCCAGGCTGGCCTTGAGCACTCCCAGGGATGGGATATCAACTTGAATCCCCATGGCAGCAAACAAGACCCCAAAGATCCGAGCTCTGTGTCACAGCTGAGCCACCGGCCTCGATTTCCCTCGCACGTGGTTATGCGAAATGCCAACCGAGTCAAAAATAAAACTGCAACCTTGAGCTAAGGCTTTCCCTGCTGCTAACACAGAAGCAGCTCAAGAGTTTTGTCCATGGTGGAGTGCAGAGAGCTCTCCTGCTTCCCAAGGTGTGTGCAGTCCTTGTCCCTGCACAGCCGAGCGCCGGCGGTGCCGGTAGCCCGCGGATCCCGCTGCGTCTATACTTACTTGGAGAAGTGGGAGAGGTGGCCCCTCCTTCTGTTGATGTGGTTGGAGGTTTTGTGTCTGGCACTGGCAGAGGCACAGGCCTAGCCATTGGTGGCGGAGGTGGTGGTGGCAACATTGGGGTAGGAAGGAATGGATTGTGCACCTTGCCTTGGCTGCTACCATTGGGCTGCCGAGAAACAAGCAAACAGACAAAAATTATACTAAAAATCAGCTATTAGGAAGCTCCAGTAAAAACAATCTAGTTAAAAACTGTGTGCAATACATTTAGAATTACTTGAGAGGCGGCAAAGAAAGTGCTGGCTCAAATTCTCCATGGACTTCAAAGAACTTTGTGTCAAACTCTGTGAACCTTGTGAAACTGTGGCAATTCTGGCTTTTAAATGCATGTTCTATTAGCAGCTTGTCTGAACTAAGATTAAATTGTCCTGGATTAAATTCTACTCCTCTTTACATTTCCTGCAGCACTAACCCATGCTCAGTGAGAGGTGAAGCAGTATTTTTGACCCCTAAAATCCCCCAGCTTCGTGCCTCTGTTATACCCTCAGGATATCATTGTTTAGGACTTGAGTGTAAATTTCTTAAAGATACTGTTCATTAAGAGAAAAAACAAGCGTTTTTGGTGGTCTTAAAAATCATGCTGATATCTCATTACAGGAAAATGAATGAGTGTATATTAAAATAACTGCTCTCCCACATCCCTTTTGAGTTAGTAATAGTGTAGTTCTTGGTTTAGCTGCCATTAGGATTATATGGAGGAATGACTGAACTTAGAACAGCTTCATTTTACACAGTGGGAGAAAAAACCACCCTCCCTTCAGTCTTGGGATGTGGTCAGTCACAGGCTGAAGGGGATCAGCTATATGAGTGTGGTCTTTCAATTAATCATCAGAAAAATGTGTCCATAAGTAAAAGTGTTTTCAAGTATCACAAAAACAGGGATCAGGCTTAGAAAAGCATGCCAACCCTCCCCCTGCTTATTAAGTTTACATTTTAAATGTAACCCAGCCTGGACACTTGAAAGCCATACAGATAGATGCCAAATACCATTATAAAGAGAAAGTAGGACAGGCTGTGAATCAGGTGTTCCATTTTAGTGACAAAAATGATGAGATCATTTTCGACAGCACTCTACAAATTGATCTCACTGCAGCTCTTCTGGCACTGAACATTGGCTTTTCCATTGATGATAAAAGCTCAGCTTTAAACACAGATCCATATTCTAAGTACTGCTGAAGAAAATAATGTTTTAATTCCTGATAGGGTTTCCATTAGCCTGAATTGCCGGGGACAAAATTCTCATCCTGGCAAAACACTTGGGACTTTATTTTCATTTCACCTGCTTTGGCACTGACAAAAGGCCTTAAAGTCGTGGAGGTGCAAATCACACTCGTGCTAGAGCAGAAATGGTTCAGGGGACAAGTAAGACTCAAATTCATCTGCATTTAACTTAGCAGCACTCCCACAGCCTTCAAAGACTGCAGTTACTAGAGTTTGCAGCAAGAAGCAATCCTTCAGAGGTGTTTATTTTTCCAACATCCAGCACCTTTAATAAACTAATATATTAGTGACATCTCTCAAGCACTATCTTGTCTCCCAATTAGGTCCCTTTCCTGCCAAGAAGACCCCTGCTGCCTGTTCATTGTGAGTGTGCTAACAGTTCATAATGCTGAATGGTTTGGGATAAATTAAGCAAATGAATACTCAAGGAAAAAGAAAAGCACTGTATTGATTTGTTGTCTAGACATAAATGTATCTGCTAACATATTGCAGACATTATTCAAAGCCAGGACTGGCTGGAATAAGTAGAGTCAGTTTTTCTGCTGGGGAAAGGAAAACACTGAGAACAATACAGCTTATTAAATAAGTGTAATAAATTAGATGCTAATAATTAAACTAATTCTCATTAACACTTTCAGTACGTCAGGAGAGAAGCAGTAATTTTGCCAGTTATTACTTCATTGGCTGGAAAAAGTTACATGCATTACATTTCATGAAATATTCAGAGCATTATTTTAGATTTGATTTACATAAAATTTATAAATTCTGTATTCGTCCAGAATGCTATTTCAATAATAGCAAGATGATTCACTTTATTTGATTAAAAAAAAAAAGAAAATGGTTATTTGAAGCTTTGGAACTCTGCTTAATTTTTCATAGAGATAAGGGGAAAAGATAACTGCTTACAGAAATAACAAACCATAATAAACTGTACTTTTAACATCTTGAGTTCAAGTACTGGTCAACTTGATCTAAAGTGCTATAAGGCAGTATCTTTTTTTTTTTTTTTTTAATGAACTTAGCTGATCTGAAACATCTGTTTCTCACCCTCCCTTTTCCTGCTCTTTCCCCCCCACTCTCCCCTGAACTTCAAAAATAATTAATAAAAATTATTCTGCCTTCGTATTTTGTTAACCCTGGTTCCACAAGGGTTACAACACATGCAGCAAAGTCGTTTGTGGGGGGACCCAGCAGGTCACTGAAGCACCAGCTTCTCTGACACTTTAATCTACTTCCACCACAATGTGGTCGAGTGGTTTTTTGGGGAGATGTCTTGTTGTTTTTAAAAATACTTTTGCAGCACAGCATCATTATAATAATAATAATATATATATATATATATATATTTTTTTTTTTTTTTTTGGTTGTTGTTGTTGTCCCTTCCAGCAACTACTCAAGGCGCGCTCCTTCAGGCGACATGCTGTTAAAATAACCCCATCAATAACCCCGTGGTTAATTTTTACAAAGGACAAACACTTCTGAAGAAAGAAAAACGGCTTCCTTACATTTAGGAACCCCACCTGTCCAGCCTGCTGACCAGCGTCGGGGCAGACAAGTTGGACAAACTCTTTCAGAGTCTCCTGAGGATGATAGCGGATTGCTGGGTGTGAGAAGTATGGCCCAGGCTGTTGAATAATGGGTGATGTTGGAAAATGAAGAGTCGATGGTGTTGCATGTGGACTTGCTATAGGAAAGAAAACAAAGACGTTATATAGAGTTTTGCCTCTGGAAAATAAAACAGTTTAAAGCTGTTGTAGTTTTAAGTAGCTTTTTTTTTTTGTTGTTGTTGTCATTGGTTTGTTTTTAAGTGTACAGTATTGTTTATACATCAATTAATATATTAGACCACATTGTGTCCTACACTCACTTCATCTAGATCCTGGAAGCAAAAGGAGCCAGACATTTTGAAGGATTTTCTGTGTTTTTAGTGGACACATAGCAAGGAATCAGCAATCCTTTGTGAGAGTGAAAACTATTCATCACCTTAAGAGCAGCCCTCATCAATCAGGCAATAAAAAAATGTATTTGGGAGATTAGGGTTGATTTAATTGACATTTCATGTAACTTGGATTTGCACATACCAATCCATTTTACATTGTAGTATAAACGGTCGATAATTTAAAAACAGTCTAACGTTTCTTGTTGTTGGTTTTTTTTTTCCATCTCACTTCAGGAACATTTATTTTAAGTAACGTGTTTTCGTTTAATGAACATGCACTAAGTGTCGAGATGGTTTGGAAAATTGCATTTACATTTCTCCTGAATAACGCTGGGCTCAAATCTTCAGCAAGCCCCCAGCTCGCTCTCAGGGATGAAGTTTAATTTGGTGAATTTATGGGGCCAACAAGCCAGCTGGAAAATGTACTCCAGAGAAGGTGCAGAGGTGTGATGTGCACGAGCCCATTGGCAATGACCGATTTTACCCTCTGATTTCAGCAGAACTACAAGTGCAGCTCCAGAGCCTTTTGCTCTCCTACATTATGTGACACCTTTGCCCAGTTCCTTGGCCTTCAAAATATATTGTGTTGGACTCTTGTTACCCAGCAGTGCTTCCCATTGTTAGCTGTCACCACGAGGCAGCAACTGCTGCCACTTACAGTGCCATGAATTCTCCCTTTAAAATGAGGATTTGCTCTTCCTTCAGAATGACCAATTAATCTGGTTGCACACAAGCTCATCTGTAAATCATTGTGTATTTCTCACCAAACAGTCATCATTGCGCCCTAGGAGTCTTTCAGGGTGTCCATGTGCAGAGATTGAGCTCATACATTGCATATGACCAATTAGATAAAGGCTATGCAAGGGAGGGGAAATCCTACAGAAACTCAGGTGTTGGCTTGGAAGTAATTTAAATATACAAGAGGGAAAAAAATAAAGCCTTTGGCACTTTTGGAAAAATTGGAGAGATGCAGGAAAGTTAACTAAAATCAAACACAAATGAGCAAACATTCATTTCATGATGAATGTTATGAAAAACCTTCAGTTAAATAAAAGCTAAAATCTGCTTATTACTCTTGTTCATTGCCAGTTTAATAATATGACACTTTATTAATAATTTTTTTTTTCTTTAGCATTATTAAACCATTAGCAAACTCAAGAGCCTGAGGATGTGGATAAAACGTGAACTCAGAAATAGCAGCAAAGAAACTACTGCGTTTTCCTGTAAACTTTCATTAAGGGTTGTCTGGGCAGCCCTTCTATACACGTCCTTTTCCACCACAGGATAGGAATTATTGCTCTGACACCACCACCAAAAAGAGCTGCACTCATGCCAGGGGTGCTGGGATGGGATGGATGTGAAACCTTTGCCCATGCTGTGAAAAGCTCCCCTGTGTCCACGTAAACCCCACAATTCTGCTCCCTTTAATTCTGTTGAAAATATTCCCAATGAAAAGAGAAACATCAAAGCTAAAGGGGGATTCCTTTCTGTAACTGTGAGTGACCACATGGAGACAATTATGACAATGGACAGAGAACTCAACAGTGCCCAAGGAGCCACCTCACCCCAAAATAATCCCCTGGCTTTGACTGGTGCTGCTCTGAGGTTGACACCTCCATTCTACCCACACACCTTCAGTCGGGTAGATCCCAGCCAGCATTTTGATGACTGCAACAAAATTTTTATTAGTCTACAGTATTTCTGTCTGCCTCCCTTTCTTTGTATCTGCTTTTGTAGTTCCCCTTTTCCTTGTGTGCCAGATGGAATATGAAGGATGAAGATAAAAGTGAGAAATGGACATTTATCTGACAAACATCTAATTAAGTAAGGAATAAATTGGAATTTCTGAAATATAAAAAGAGTATTTCCTTTTAGTATCAGCTTTTTTAATACAACTTGAAATTGTTATGCAATTGCACTGTCCTTTATGAACAAACTCATTTCTGTTTGTCTGCTGAGTGAAAAGGAGATTGACATATATCTCAGACAAGAAGGAATAAAGGATTTTATCCAGGGAACATGTGGGAGTTCAAAGCTAGGCCTGAGACAACATTGTATTTAGCTTTTCCAAAGTATGGCTCTTCATTTAATAATTTGATTTTCTGTAAGAAAGATGAAAGAAATACTCAGTAGCATGTAAGGAGCAAGCCTTTTTCTGCTGTCCTGACCTCCTCAGCGTGTCAGGGTAGAAAAGAAAGTGGAGAATGTGTGCCAGTGACCCGCCCAAAGAGAGAGAGAAGCAAAACAAATGCAGAAATGACCAACAATAATTCAGCCCAGCAAAGTGCTGCAAGGAGAAAGTGGCTCCTCTTTGGAGCCTTGGCCAACTCCTCAGCCCATCTCCAAGGGCTCCCTGCTGATCTGGGAAGGACTGGGGGAGGGAAACAAGAAAATTGGCATCATTCCTCAGCCTGTGCCATCCACTGATGTGGAGGGGTCATTTTCTTCTTAGCATAAGGAGTAACGAGTGCATTAAGGATCTCCAAAGGTTTGTTTTTGCAGTCTCTGACTAGGAAATAGCAAATTTCTCAAGTGCCAAAAGAAAGGGCTCTTTGATAAGAGGAGAAAAGCCACTACTATTAAACTGATCAACATTACAAATGTGCCTGCCTGATGCTAGAGAGAGGGAATTAAATGTTAAAGTCTAAAATCTGCTGGCCCAGACACAGACCATTACTCTGATAGCTGTGTTGTGGTCAGCAACTCTGGAGAGTGCAAAACTGGCCACTCCAACAAGTTCTGAGCGCAGAACACAACCGTGTTTCCAAATATAGGGGCCCTCACAAGCATTTTTAATCAGTGAAAGCACAAGGGGTAATGAAGCAGGTCATTATTATCCCTGTTTGCCTCTAAAAAGGCCAAGGGCCCTTTCAGTCATGATTTTCAGACTTAATAAAAATGATAAAGTCTTTAATTCCTAAACCCACACCTGCAGTGATGGAAATTACCCCGTGTAAGAGAAGATGCTCTTATTACTTCTGATGGGATATTACAAGGCTCAGAGATTGTAAATTCTTTGAGATCTTCAAATGGAAGATAAAATAGGTCTTTGTCTATTATTTATTTACTTATTGACTTATTATTTATGTATCCCTAAGCAGCTCCATCCTGCCAAACCATATTTCTCCTGGCGTCTTTCAGCCTGTGACATTTATATTTTATTATTGACCTCAGTAAATGACATAAAATATGACTTCTACAATCTATGAAAATATGTGTACTCAAGATCAGAACTTCATTTCTACCTGCTATAGGTATGGAGGAGTTGGACTCTCTGGCGTTATGAAATCTGTTATTTTGTGTAGGGGTTGGAGGCAGGAGTTATCCTTCCATCTCAAGGCAAGCATAAATATTTCAAAGCACACATGATTCTAATTCCATTGAAGCTGGTCTGAAACATCCCAGCCTTTTTATTGAAAATGAGATGGTAATGTATGGTGGCCTGCAACAGATATACCAGTATTTTAAAACTGCTGCTATTGGGCCAAGTAATTATGCAGTACAGCTGTTGCGTGCTACACTGGATTCCTCAGTGTTTTATGAGCTCGTGGTGCTGTGCAGCACAGAAGTCACAGGATTTTTCAGAATGCTGAATTCAAACTTCTGATTATGCAGCTCTGTCTTGCCTTTCCCCTTCTTGATTTGTAGTAGCCAATAACCAAGTTAGTAACCAATAAAATAAGCTGCACCCATTGATTAGGTGAGTGCTGCACATGGGCCAGGCTCTGAAGAAGAGCCAAAATTGTGAATTGTGTCTGAGTGAGTGATGAGACAATAAAGGATCAGTTAATTTGAAACAGGTCACAGTTTTCTTCAGATATTTGGGATCCTGGAACAAAGGAGCAGCTCCTAATAAAGAGCCCTGGGATCCTTGGTCCTGGGGAGCGCTCGCTGACGTGGTGAAGGGACACCAACAGTGCTCAGACAGGTTTTACACCAGCACAGCCCAACATATGGGGGCACATATTGATCTATCCACCTTCCATCTCCTCTTCCAAAAAAAGCCCTGCCATTCCCTTCAAGTCCACACCACTGGATGGAATTTCTTTCTTCCTGAAGTCGTTTGAAGTCTTTGAAAAGGTCGTTTGGTGTTGCTCAGGAAAAGGTGTTATCACCCCAGACTGTTCCAGGGAGAAGTGCTGGGAATCACAACCACTGCTCCTTCACAGGCACACGGGCTGGTCCATCAGCTGCATCAGGGCACAGTGCTCAGATACCTCCTCTATAAAGTGATAATTAAGTTTACTAATACTTCATTAAACATTGATCAGCCTTCCTAGAAATAGTAACGTTAGAATCATAATGAAACGGGATCGTTTTTTATCTGCTTGTTTTTGAGGCCATTATAATTGGCTTCATTACAATTAAGAAAGTATTTTCTGAAAAGTCATTTCCCTGGAAATGTTAGAGAACAGTTTGTTCTGCTAGCGACTTCCACGTCAGGCTTCTAAGTTGCTTTAACTCCCTGAGTGCTGCAAACTTTCTCCTGCCATTCCAGTGATGCCAGTTCAAATTATGTGAGATGGATCCCACCCTTTGTACCCCAAAGGTACTTATTCTCAAAATTGACCATATTAGAGGACTAATTGGCTAAGCCACCATGCTGGCTGATGTGAAATGCTTTCAAACACCATGAAACAGCTGTGTTTATCGGAAATATGAAGAGTGACTTTTTAATAAGGAGATCTGGCAATAATCCAAATTTGTTGAAAGGAACTTACACTTCTGTGTATAATACAATACAA